CGGAATGTTCGATCTTCGATGGATGCATGTGCTTGAATAGCTTGTTTTAACGTGGGGATTGGGGTTTGGAACAGGGTGGTTGCTGTTTTAGATTGGTAAAAACTTGGGTGGGAGATATGCATACTATGAAGCTGATATGCTTTCCACAATAGTAATCTCTCTTATGGGTTCGATGTACTGGTAAATATACCTTTTGGGGTCGTATTTTCCGGGAAGCATTACCCCAGATACATGCAGTCATTGACTGTTTAGAACAACTCCATCGAATGGCCCAGATATATTGACGCCGCCGGTATATATCCGGAAATCCAACACTCCAGAGCCATCAGTAGCAACGAACCTACCCATAATGGGCTTCTTCACCGAGAGTACTGTAAACTGCCTTAGTAGGTCATGGACTACAGGTCAATAAATGATCTTATTGTGCGATTCAACCCAGATGGTTCGTGTGGCGAAGTGCAATTCAGCATCATTCATGTCAACCATTCTCAAGCACGGTAGCCCTCATTAATAGACGCCAGACACATTCGCAATAAGTTAAAGTACCCCTAGTATCTTCAAGTAAAGTACTTATAGGGTTGAAGGTACGCTTTTATATGTTTCCGAGCGAACAGATAGACGTCCCAATGGTGCGGGAAAGTATATGGTGCAGAGTGGCTGGCAGCTTGTTAGACACTGTATACTCAACCAATAGTAATACTATTCCACTAGGCACACATACAGCTAGTCAAATACCATCCTTTTATGGATTGGTACGATCAATTCTAGAATTCATCCTCATAGTCCTTCCGTAGAGACAAGCAATACTAATGCCGATCATCCGCGAGATTCCGAGTGGTTCGTTCTGCCGCTTAGTCAGGTCCTGCTGCCAACGATCCCAACGCATCATAACTGGAGATAACTGGCGATAATTTATTTCATCCGATTCTGCTGCCTGTTCACCCAAGCAGCACCTCATAATGAGGCGCCGGACCCGTCGCAGTCTCGTTCATCTGGCCTTCTTCGCCGGAATCCTCAGCCTCATCCTCTTCCTCAACCGGCCATCCTCCCCCGGTCGGCCCTTTGCCTGGACCACCGTCACCTATGAGACCACCGCGAAGCAACTCCCGGAAGCCCGGGGCCAATGTCCCGGTCTAGCCAAGACAGACAAGCCCGTTCTAGTGGTATCGCGGGTCACGGCAGATGCCTCAGACTGGCTCGCACCGCTAGCAGAGCAATATCATCTCTGCGTCTACACAGCAGACGCACCGGCAGATGCCCGTAGCACGCACCTGCAAGTGCCCGCCAACCGGGGCCACGAGGCGATGGGCTACCTGACCTTCTTGATCGACAACTATGCCCAACTACCCGCCACGGGGATGGTGTTCGTGCACGGGTCTCGTTGGGCCTGGCACAACGATGCGCCCGACTATGACAACGCGGCCCTGCTGGCGGCGTTGAACATATCGGCTGCCCTGGCTCCCTGGGGATACCACAATCTCCGCTGCGACTGGAGCGTCAGCACTTGTTCCCCCAAGACACCCGCGCAGGGCAGCCTGGAGCTGTCCATGCAGTCGGTGCTTGAGCCGTGGAGCGCGCGGACAGCCTCTGACGTCGCGCTGCCAGGCGCGCTGGCCAACCTATTTGGCAAAGACCAGATCAGCTTGGAGCTGGAGAGCGCACGAGTGCTGCTTGGTCGGAACGACGCGGTGCGCGCTCAGTGCTGCGCACAGTTTGTGGTCAGTCGCGAGAGCGTCTGGCAGCACACGCGGGATGAGTACATTGCGCTGCGGCAGTGGCTGCTGGATGGCAGCGATGATGCTGCCCAGCCCGGAGCAGGAGGAGGGGGACGACGATCCCCGTCGGCCCGCCGAGCAGCACCACGGGATGATCGCATTGCCGGTCGGATATTGTCGTATGTGTGGCACATCCTGTTTATTCGACGCGGTGCTCTTCATGCCGATGATGGATCGGCAGCGATTGACCTGGAGCGATTGAATGGCATTGCATGTCCGCGGGCGGACGAATGCTACTGTCGGTTGTATGGCCGGTGCAATCTGGGCCGATGCAGCGCCGGCAGTTGCTTTGGGCAGTATCAGTTACCTCCGGATTTCAAGGTTCCTGCGTGGGTGACCGAGAAGGGAGGTTCATGAAGCAGGAAGTGTACAGTGGTTCGAGTCATTGTCTATGAAGATTCTTAGAATGAAGATAGCATGTTGTATCCCTTGCTTTTCCTTTGTCGGTGCCTTGTCTTGGACGGGTCACATGATAGTAGCCTGAGGCAGAATAATGTCATTCCCTCAGGCACACAGGTTCATGCCTTCCTGCTACGACTACGACATAAGGTTGTTTGGCTCATCCCCAGCATCAGGCAACAGGATATTTTCCCTTCTCATTGTCTACCGCTCCTCCTCCGACCATGCGTGCAGACCTCCATCCCACAGAATTAATTAATTGTCTTCTCCTCCCCCATGCCGATCGCTGATGACCCACGACCCACTGCGGGGTATAGACACGGGTTGTGCTTCCTGCTCTCCTCAATTCTACCTTCGTCCAAAACATTGGCATTCCAATCACAGCGTACCAACCCCGGTCATTTCTTGATTACGGTGGAGACTCAAGGGTTCACTGCGGAGTAACAACTACCGACCCGGGGGAATTTCCCTCCCCCTTCTTCAGCTCCAGCACGGGTTCGTAGGCCTTTCCATATCCCACAATGGGCATTCACTGATGGCAAATCTACTGGAACAAAAGGTTACGCGATGAGTATGAAGAAATCTATAGCTCAAGGAGGGTCTCATGAAGTAAAATCGGCCACGTACGCCGGGAGCAGGGGCATGGCCGTCCGGCCGTCCACAACGTGCGGGTGCGCCTGAGGAATAAGCTGCCCGACGATAAAGCTTATACACGGGATTCCGTATGAACCGACAGCTTCCTGCCGTCCATACAATCCTCCGATGTATGCATCAGGTATGATACAGGGCTAGAAGGATACCGAGGCTCCGTGGCCCGGCCCGCTTCTCACCTGCCGTGATCTTCTGCCGGTCTAACGAAACTTTCTTTTCCTGAGCCACTCCGGGGTTCTCACTGGCTTTTCCGGGGTAGCCACTGTCAACTGCATTTGCATTTCCGCTTCAGTCGTTCCCCAGATCAGTGCATGTGGAGCCACAATTCTGGGTTGCAGTCGAATCACCGACGTTCAAAAAAGGCAAGAACCCCGTCAGATCGTTTCAAATGCGGGGGAAGGGGAGCAGACGATGGGTACAGTTTCTCCGGTGATGATGTCGAAGCTGGTCACTAGTTTATCGTATCCTGCGGAGTTTCTTGTAACTCCCAAAACTATGAGACCAACCTGCTGATCAATGCCTATAAGAAGGGGGACCTGCTGGGACTTCTTCTTTCGTGTTTTGCACAGGAGCGTCCCCTCTCCCTTCCCATTGTGTGTCGTTCCCACTCTGAGCTTGCAAGATGAAAGTATCAAGTCTCCTATCCGTGGCACTGCCTGGGGCAGCCCTCGCTGCGACCGACTCCTTTCAGTCGCGGTGCAATGAATTCCAGAACAAGATCGACATCGCCAATGTCACCGTCAGATCGGTCGCATACGTTGCTGCTGGACAGAATATTTCCCAAGCGGAGGTCGCCTCCGTGTGTAAAGCATCGGTTCAAGCCAGTGTCGACCTGTGCCGAGTAACCATGAACATCTCGACGTCGGATCGCAGCCATCTCTGGGCTGAGGCCTGGCTCCCTAGAAATTATACCGGCCGCTTCGTGAGCACGGGGAATGGAGGTCTAGCCGGCTGTAAGTGTCTCATCCATTTCTAGGCCGTCGTGTCCGGTATATCTTCCACTTTTTCAAAATTTGCTGATTCCGAATTAGGTGTCCAAGAAACGGACCTCAACTTTGCAGCCAACTTCGGTTTCGCTACCGTGGGCACCAACGGTGGACATGATGGGGACACGGCCAAATACTTTCTCAACAACTCGGAGGTTCTGGCCGACTTTGCCTATCGCTCAGTGCACGAAGGGACTGTGGTGGGTAAGCAACTAACTCAATTGTTTTATGACGAGGGATACAACTACTCCTACTATCTGGGCTGCTCCACCGGAGGCCGCCAAGGCTACCAGCAAGTCCAACGGTTCCCCGACGACTATGACGGAGTGATTGCGGGCTCCGCAGCGATGAACTTTATCAACCTGATCTCCTGGGGAGCCTTCTTGTGGAAGGCGACGGGATTGGCGGATGATCCGGACTTTATCTCTGCAGACCTGTGGTCCGTAATCCACCAGGAGATTGTTCGTCAGTGCGACCTGGTCGATGGGGCTCTGGATGGAATCATCGAAGACCCTGATTTCTGTGCTCCAGTCATCGAGCGCTTGATCTGCGACGGGACTACCAACGGCACCTCTTGTATCACGGGAGCCCAGGCAGCAAAGGTCAACCGGGCCTTGAGTGACTTCTATGGCCCCGACGGGACGGTGTACTACCCGCGCCTGAACTATGGGGGTGAGGCCGACTCGGCTTACCTGTACTTCACGGGGTCGATGTACAGCCGTACGGAGGAATGGTACAAATATGTGGTCTATAACGACACTAACTGGAACTCCAGCCAGTGGACGCTGGAGAGTGCCAAGCTGGCCCTGGAGCAGAATCCGTTCAATATCCAGGCGTTTGATCCCAACATCACGGCCTTCCGGGACCGGGGTGGCAAGCTGCTGTCCTACCACGGCACGCAGGATCCCATTATCAGCTCCACGGATAGCAAGCTCTACTACCGACGGGTAGCGAATGCCCTGAATGCCGCGCCGTCCGAGCTAGATGAGTTCTATCGGTTCTTCCAGATCTCCGGCATGGGCCACTGTGGCGATGGCACGGGAGCATCGTACATCGGCCAGGGATATGGCACGTACACCTCCAAGGCGCCCCAAGTCAACCTGCTGCGCACGATGGTGGACTGGGTGGAAAACGGAAAGGCGCCCGAGTACATGCCGGGCAACAAGCTCAACGCGAACGGGTCAATTGAGTACATGCGCAAGCACTGCCGGTATCCGAAGCATAACGTTCACACGGGGCCGGGTAACTACACCGATCCTAACTCCTGGACTTGTGTATAGTTAGCGGAGGGATCTTCTAGTCTCTGTAGCAAGTAGTTCGGTGTTGAAAGCTTATCAAATGCCATGTCAAATATCGCTTTTAGCTTCTTCCTATGGGATAGAGATATGTAGAGATGCGCTGGTCTTTTTTTACCTCGAAAGTTCACCGTGCATTCCGGGGAATAACAGAGAGATGGCTGGTGGGCTTCGAAGAAGAGGCAGAGATGTGCCAACATGACACTGGCATCGACACAGAAGACCAAGTCCAGAAAAGGCAGGTGCGACCAATGCATGTCGAACGGAAGCCGACTGCTGTTGAGGCCTGAGGCCAACAAGCCATAGAATGTTGCTGCCTTGGACGGGGAACAGAGCACCATTTGAATCACGTGCTGTGGGTGGGGCCGTGGCTCTGGTCGGACACGGACCGAATCCCGCTGATTCAGCAAGCCAAGACCGCCAATCGGTAAATCCTCCCCCGCTTGAAGCTTCCATGCAGAAACACCAGATGCAAATCATCATCTTCGTTTCATCATGGCCGTCACACGGTCAACAGTGAAATAAACATGCCTCGTCAAGGCTGCAAGAATTCATTCCGTGAGATTTGGTGCAGCAGCGCTTTCAGGAAGTGGAATCTAGCCTCAATGTCGGTTGCTGCCGACATTCCAACACGTGAGATGTAATGCACGTCTGACATTTGGGTTCGGCTAGCCACGACCAAGATTGCTTGTGTGCAAAGCTTGGCTTCACATCTGGGATGTATTGCCATTGAACAACCCTGCTATACCATTCCTGATAGGATGAATTGTCGGCTTTTTGCATGCATTATCCCGTATTAATCAGAAATGATGCTACTTCTCAGACACCACAGCTAGTACTTTCCACTTATTCCACTCAAGTCTTTCAGGGCCCTTTTTCAGGGTCGATAGTATAAATAGATATCGACTAAGATTACCGAGGATGGAGCTCCATACCAAATTTCAGAATAGCTTTACCCTTGTGGCTCTGCAGTTCTCCATCCTCGTCGGCTTTGTATCCATGATCCAGTTGAAGTTACTCGTCTTGGTGGTGAACACCCACTGGAGGCAATATATATATCCGGCATCCCTGCGGAACAGCCACACTGGGTGGATGACCGAGACATCCACCCCAAAAATAGCACCAGAACCCTGCTTGAGACGGCACAATCTACAATTTGTGTCTTTTGAGAGCCTACCACCCCCTTTATGTGCTCAGTTCTACTCGTCCTGAGCTTGGCCATGACTGCGCAGTGTGAACTGTGAAGATGTCAAATGTCCGAATATGCGTGAGACATGGACGGTCACGGAGCGCCACGCCCATGGGTGATCCGCCCGCGTGTGGAGCCAGCCAGTCGAACGCTGGGAACGTCTCGACTCAGTTACCAACTAGTCGGACAGTTAGTTCGTAATCCACCACCACTGTGGTGCCTCAGGCGAAGAGATGAGTCCTGGAAGACTATTTACCCCCTTCGCTTGGAGATTGGACCATTGCTCCATAATAATCCTATTGCCAAGATAACATTTAATTCTCTGCCCTGAGAGGAGGACCGAACACATGGGTATATAAGAAGAGGAAGAGGAACAGGACGTTAGGAGTATTCCCCCCTGGACATCGGAACACCAAGCAAGTCCATTTGAAGACAGCCTGATGGCAGCCTGCCAGCCGGCCGTTTGACCGAGCTGGTTGCTGCCTGGGAACCGAGGGGTGATTGGTCTAATAGCTTGACACTGACCCTCTTCCTACCCCTTTAGTGCTCGCTCCTCAAGTCAGAGAACCAACAATTCGTGACGAGGAAGCTGATCCTGGTTCTGATGGTGAAACTGGCGTTGCCTTGGGACCTGTCACTTTGGTGTCTGATTATCTTACAGCCTTGCGTGGAAAACGAGTCAGCTCAACTGCACGATGATGATGGATTTCCCTATCGCGCGCGAGAGAGCAACTGAGCAGAGACTTTTGCAGCGACGGCAATCATGCCCTCATTTCCTTTAGCTTCTGCTCTGTCTGCTTTACTCCTTTTCCTCCCCCCCCGTTTCTTTCCTCTCATTTCCCCTTCTCATCCAGTCCATTGAACCTACCGAACTGGAAACTTGCCGGAAATGGAATTTTGCGTGGCCGAAATCTCCACTGTGGATCACGCGATGTTCGCTGGCCCCAACGGCAGCCAATCAGAATAGGGGTATAGCTCGCTTGCTCGGAAAATCGGCCGGACCGGGGCCCACCGGCTGCGCGTCTTTTTCGGGGGAACCTCTGGACTTTTCGCCTTGTTCACCTTCATTTCCACCTGCACCACGCTTCTGCTGCGTGTCTCCCATCCGAACTCGCATGGCTACTCGGTCTTAGCTACGATAGTCGCTCGGACTAAATCGCCGCTAGTAGGCATCCTCATTCTTGGGTCCAATAGGATTGCCCCGGCCTTCGTCATCCATTGGATCCGATCCGGGAACCATGACAGTCCGCCGAATTTTCTCGACGCCCACCTTCAACGCCCGCTCATCACATCATTCTGTCTGCCCCCCTCCTCCGTCCTCGTCGTCGCAATCGTTTTCCACTGTCAACGCGGCCACGCCTCTCGCCTGTTCCTTCCCAAGAGCGCCATGTTGGAGCACTTCTACATTGTCCGTCGAGTCCGGAGGACGCAGGGTCATGAGCCAGTATAAATATATCCTGTCGACCATGGGTACCCGTTGAATGGAGGTGGTCCCCCCGGATAAGGATTTTTACTCCCGGTGGAGCCAACCTGCTGACGACAGAGATCTTAAACATCCGCTACCGACAAGTCAAGACCGTCGTTGGCCATTCTCAGTTTCAGTGCACCGCCCGGCGTGGCTATAATGCCGGCCTGCATTGTTCCTGGCGGGCCAAAAGGGAAAAATATCCTGCTCCCACCGCGATGGACAAGCCTCATCTGGCTACTATTCTGGTATCGCCCCGGTCCGCCAGATATATCGCACACTTGTAAACATGCATCCTCCGTCGAATTATCGCCACTGCTCCCCAAGGCTTAGACTTTCATCCCCCGCCATCTCGTCCTCTTATTTGCCCTGTCCCGTAGCTGCTTCGTTCCCCCCTATATATAGTTCTTGGGCACGTATCCAATGATCCATGGGTGCTCCACTCCTCTAGCAGTTGGTTTATCTACGCCCTAGCCCAATTGACGGTTGCGTGGTACCGTTGTTGTCCCCAGCCCATTTTTTTCCCCTTAGGCCCTCTTTTCTTCCCTCCTTTGGGGGACTCCTGTTTATTTTTGTGCCCTTTTTAATTTTACAGTGTTATTTTTGGGATCCTTCTTTTGCCCAGCCCCAGAACCTCCCTAGAACCCTCGTTATACTTTTTCCCTTTCCCCGTTTGCCTCATTAAGACCACCCGTCGCAACTTCAGGCAATCCCATCTTCAACCTCCAAGATGGGTACGCCAACACCTTACTCGGCCCATTCGCCGCGGGACAGCGAAAGCAGCTACTTCTCCCACACGTCTCCCCCCCATGGTGTGAGTGTGTCCCGTCAAGCTGGCCGGCTGTTTCAATACCTAATCGTGATAGCACCAAACTTACCACTCCGAGGAACATGAGCACGACGAGCAGGAACAGTCTCTGCTGGAGCGCAACAATTCCAGTCACTATGGCACGCCCTTCGATGATCCCGCCGTGTCGACAGACTCCCTCCGTCGCTACACTCTGCACGACGACGGTCCAGCGGTCTTCGCCGCGCCTCCTTACCAAGAATCCGAAGCCGCTTCCGAAAACACCTTCCGTGCCCGGAGCAATGGCGACAAGGCTTCCCGTGAAGGGAGTCGCGCGGGTGCCCTGCGCCGTTACGGAACGAGAAAGATCAACCTAGTGCAAGGTTCCGTTCTGAGTGTCGACTACCCGGTGCCGAGTGCCATTCAGAACGCCATCCAGCCTCAATACCGGGATGCGGAGGAGGCCTTTTCCGAAGAATTCACGCACATGAGATGTAGGTGCCACACGCGCCTTCGCGGAGATGGCCAATTGTCCGGCTGACCAAAGCATCGCAGACACGGCCGCCACCTGTGATCCCGACGAGTTCACGCTGCGCAATGGCTACAATCTCCGACCGGCTATCTACAACCGGCATACCGAATTGCTGATCGCCATCACCTACTACAACGAAGACAAGGTGTTGACCGCGCGTACCCTTCACGGTGTCATGCAGAACATCCGTGATATTGTCAACTTGAAGAAATCCGAGTTCTGGAACAAGGGTGGCCCTGCTTGGCAGAAGATCGTGGTCTGTTTGGTTTTCGATGGTATTGAGCCATGCGACAAAAACACACTGGATGTGTTGGCGACGATTGGTATCTACCAGGATGGAGTCATGAAGAAGGACGTTGACGGGCGGGAAACCGTCGCCCACGTTGTAAGTTTGCTTCTTTCCACTTTTTCTTCCGCTGCCGCCTTTGGTGCAGACCGCCTTCGGACCATCGGAGATCGGCACCGCAAAGGAGGATGAATGAGAGACACTGACCGCCGCAGTTTGAATATACTACCCAATTGTCCGTCACTCCGACGCAACAGTTGATCCGGCCCCAGGGCAATGAGTCGACCAACTTGCCCCCCGTGCAGATGATCTTCTGTCTCAAGCAGAAGAATAGCAAGAAGATCAACTCCCACCGTTGGCTGTTCAACGCCTTCAGTCGTATCTTGAACCCGGAAGTCGTCATTCTGCTGGATGCCGGTACTAAGCCCGGACACAAATCTCTGCTTGCTCTGTGGGAGGCCTTTTACAATGACAAGACTCTCGGTGGAGCCTGTGGTGAGATCCATGCAATGCTGGGTCAGGGCTGGCGCAAGGTCATCAATCCGTTAGTCGCTGCGCAGAACTTTGAGTACAAGATCTCCAATATTCTCGATAAACCTCTCGAAAGTGCGTTCGGTTATGTCAGTGTCTTGCCTGGTGCATTCTCTGCCTATCGGTATCGCGCTATCATGGGCCGCCCCCTGGAGCAATACTTCCACGGAGACCATACGTTATCGAAGCGTCTTGGAAAGAAGGGTATTGACGGCATGAATATCTTCAAAAAGAACATGTTCTTGGCTGAAGATCGTATTCTTTGCTTCGAATTGGTGGCCAAGGCTGGTTTCAAGTGGCATCTCAGTTACGTCAAGGCGTCCAAGGGTGAGACCGATGTTCCGGAAGGTGCAGCCGAATTCATCAGTCAAAGACGTCGTTGGTTGAACGGTTCTTTCGCTGCCGGTCTGTATGCCATCATGCATTTCGGCCGTATCTACCGCAGTGGTCACAGCATCATTCGCATGTTCTTCCTGCACATTCAGATGCTCTACAACGTGTGTCAACTGATCATGACCTGGTTCTCACTTGCCTCTTACTGGCTCACTAGTTCCGTCATCATGGATTTGGTGGGTACGCCGTCTACGAGTAACAAGAACAAGGGTTGGCCATGGGGCAACGAAGCATCGCCCATTGTCAACAACTTCGTCAAATACGGTTATGTCTGGGTTCTTACGCTGCAGTTTATCATGGCTTTGGGTAATCGGCCGAAAGGTGTCAAGATCCCTTACATCCTATCCTACCTTTATTTCTCTCTCGTCCAGCTGTATGTCCTCATCCTGTCGTTCTACCTGGTCGTGGGTGCCTTCAACGGTGGTATGATGGACTTCAACTTCGACGAAGGCGTCGGCACATTCCTCTCCTCGTTCTTCAGCTCCAGCGGTGGTGGTATCGTGCTGATCGCTTTGGTCTCCACTTACGGAATCTACATCATTGCGAGTGTCCTGTATATGGATCCCTGGCACATCATCACCAGTTCCTGGGCCTACTTCCTGGGTATGACGACCTCGATCAACATCTTGATGGTTTACGCGTTCTGTAACTGGCACGACGTTTCTTGGGGTACCAAGGGTTCGGACAAGGCCGAGGCACTGCCTTCCGCGCAAACCAAAAAGGACGACGACAACAAGCAGAACTTCATCGAGGAAATCGACAAGCCGCAAGCCGATATCGACAGTCAGTTCGAGGCGACTGTGAAGAGAGCGTTGACGCCGTGGATCGAACCGGAGGAAGAGGGCGGCAAGAGTTTGGACGATGCCTACCGCAACTTCCGTACTGTGCTCGTGTGTCTGTGGGTGTTTAGTAACTTGCTCGTAACGCTGTTGATCACCGCCACTGGAGTGGACAAGATGTGTCTGACGGTACGTATCATTCCTCTACTTTGGTAAAGCCATAATCTGTGACATCTTTTAACGAACTGCAGAACACCTCCACCACCCGTACATCCTGGTACTTCGAAGTCATTCTGTGGATTACGGCCGGTCTGTCGCTGTTCCGCTTCATCGGCTCGTTGTGGTTCTTGGGCCGGTCGGGTATTCTGTGCTGTGTGTCCCGGCGCTAATCGCGATCGCGTTGGAGAAAAGAGAGCGCGCCGAGATCCTATTCTATCTATACCTATCCTTGCATGATTATGTCGTGTTATCCAGCGCGTGGTTCCATGGGATTGTACATTTATGGACCTGTTTGAGTGTTGTTCTATTTACCCATTTTGTTTCCCCCTTCTATGCAATGATAATAATAGAGCGGTTTTGATCTGTTAGTGGAATCTTTGGAATTTAGAATAGCTGAGATGATTTGATAAAAGAATGACATGACCAATTGCATACTACCAGTTTACCGTGCGAGCAGAGTGTTCAAATCCAATGGATACTATTGTCATCAAGGAAAGAAGCAAATAGCGCCAATGTAACCACAGAATTACCATCTGCCAGCAGAACAATCGTCCACCCAAGCCCAGATCCACCAGCCAACCCAGCCAGAGCCAGCTCCGACTTCAGCTTCCTTCAGGAATACCATTTAACCTCACCCACCTAAGGCTGCAGACAGTATTCTGATCCTAGGCAACCAAACGAGTCAGTACCAACCAAGCGAACCCATCATCTGTTCGGCATCCTTCTCCTCCAATTCCTTCTTCACAGTAGCATACCCATCCACATCACCCGCATTAGCCTCAAGAAGCGCCTCCAACGACAACCGAGTGATCTCGCACACCTCCTGAGTCGGGATATTAAGAACCTCCGCGTTCAAATCAAGACAATCCATATGGAGTTGACTGAGCTTCAAGGACATTGCATCCATCTCAGTCCGAATCTCTTGCACCTGCTCGCCCAGTGCCATCAGCTTCTCGGTAATATCTTGGAATGCTTTGATGTTCTTCTCATAGACTTTCTCGCCCTGCTTAATGATGTCGAGAGCGGTGTCCACCCAGGGTAGGTTGTCGCGAGCTATGAAATCGGCGTACTTCTGCTCGGGATTTCTGTCATAGAGGACATCGTCGGTACAGATGGTAGATTCCGCATCGGCAGCGGCGGCTGTGGTTGTGGATTCAAGTTGCTGTACCAGGGCCTTCAGATTGGCGAGGAGGTGAGCGGGAATGGTAGGGTTGGTGGTAGTAGTGGTCGTGGTGGTTGTGGTAGTGGTGCGCTTCGCGTCCCGGGTTGCGAGACGGGGGGATACCACGGCAGGGCGTTTCTTCTGCACCTTGGGGCAGAATGGTGGCCAAACATCGGAGGTCGCGGTGGAGGAGGGGGTGGTCATGGCAAAGGGGGAGGTGGTTGGTGCTTCACGGTTGGTGAAGGCTTTGGAGAGGGACTCCTTGAAGCTTTCCCTTTTGATGTTCATTTTGGATTCTTCAATTCTTGATGAATATGATTGGTGTTGATGAGGTAGGAGATGATGGATGAGAAGGTGGGAGGATTGGAAGAGAGGTGTGAGTGGGTGGAAGAGGGAAGAAGGAAGAGAGGGTGAGAAGAAGGGATCATTTGAAGGTAGTAGGTAGGTAAATTGAATCAGTGTTAATCGGGTGAATGGGACTTGAAGTTGAATTGATGCCGTGGGCCAAATTCACTTCGTTCCATTTCACTTTACGCCCTCGTGTCAGAGTGCTTTGTAGGTGTTGGATTTGTTTGCAGGAGTCATGCCTGATGGCTACTGTGATGAATGACTTAGTCCTCAACCAAGCGCACATGGGTAGTATCTTCAAGCATGAATTCCTGAGAATATAATGTGCTCTTAGTATATACTACCGTTGAACGGGAGAGTGCCAACATCATTTGCATGTTCTGGAGGGGTGGTAGGTAGTATTCACGGTGTGTTATGGATAAATATATAGTAATTACCTCACCCTTGACGAGTGGTCAGCAATCTAGCCTGGACCTTTACACTAGCGACCAAGTATTGCCGAGAGAGAAGTCATTCTCTGGTTATATTGGTATAGGTGCTCAGGTAAGCTTGAGATTCTACTATATAGAGACAGCCATTACTTTGTGGTCTCTGATGGTCTTTCGCGTAGGGCGCTCGACAGCTGCAAAAGAGTAGGAACTAAACCCGGACAGGACCATGTCTAATTCCAAGCACCAGGAACCAATGCTCTGGGCTTCGATATGACTGCCAGTATTTGCATAAACTCTGCCAGTGGTGGTTTACCAATGCGGGTTGTTAAAGAAGACCAGGTGCTTCCTGCCTTGAATTAGGAATAACAATGATATCCAGTGATTTCTTCCTCTCATAATCCTGGTGGCAGCGTGGCATCTCTCTAAATATCGTCCATCATCTACTATGCCTTTACGAATGTGATGTTCTTTTCTGTAATGGGCCCCCCAGCGTATAGTCCAAGTCAGCATTTGTTAAGTACCCTGCCCTTGGAGCTAGCCGTTCTTTGCTATCTTCCAGATCTCGAGATCCTGAAATCGGCCCAACTGACGCACTCTGTCCTATACTCTGCCTTAATTGGGGCTGAGTGATATCTTGAAGCAGGTATTAGCGCATAAGAATTCTTCCGTGCTCTTACCAAATGCCTTCTTCGCCTTTGATGCATTCATTGTAGAGGGCATATGGACGCAAGAAGAAATGTACTTCATCATGTACCGGCATCAGCACCACCGGATCTGTTCATCATTTCGTGTAACCCGCCAGTCTTCCTCTGCATTCCACAAGTTATATGTATTTTTAGCACTGAAACTGTGACCGGGCACGGCATTGTTGAATTTACACCAATGACAATCTATCTGATGAAGATCAGGACCAGACATCTTATCATAGAATCCAGAAAAAATCCGTATCAATCTATTTCTGTAGTTAATACTGATCAGATAGGTGAAACTTTGCACCTAGGCTCAAACACAACCCCCACGACTCTCCACGGTAGGCAGACACGATCCTGGTGGCTAGCACTGCCACAGCGGGACGGGACTTGGATGCATCTGAGACACGGGATTGCCGTTATCTAGAGAATTTAGTCGCCGCCTGATCTTCTTGACAGGTTTAAGCCTGTCAATGTGTCAGCGAAGCCTTGTGGCCGAGGCAAACGCGGAAGTCAACGATACGCGAACCGATGATTGAAGGCTAACTAGTCAGTATTAGGAATATGCAGGAAAGCCACTAGTATCACATGACAAATAGAAGAGACAAAGAATGACTATGGAAGATTTCCTGGTACGACGTGAATATTAAGCCTGGAAGAAGACCTGTCATGTCAAAGGGAGACTCCCTTGCAGCCCAGAACCATCTAGTTGGGTCGCGGGAGAAATCGTCATGAATGAATCAATGAATGACAGGACGCTGATCGCGCCAAGATCATGTCAAAGTGAAAAGAGCCGAAATCGTATGATATGGCATGCTTTTCGGGGAGTGAATGTCTCAGGATCTGAGACTGGGATGATCCTGAGATATTGCCTGCTTGCCCAAGATGGTGGTAAACACGTGTGTGAGGATGAAACAACAACTACGATGACACTCTGTATAGCCGAGGAGAAGAGTTCCATTCCAGAGATCGTCAACACCCACACAAATCTTGCCAATAGGATGGTAGACGATCCCGATCATCCCGTTTGCCTGCTCGTATATTTTCAGAAGAGGATCTGCCCCGCAGCGTTTACCTTCGGAGGAAGCTGACGTTGGCAGCCCAAAGCAGCAGGACGGTGTAAATCGGTGGCAGTGAGTGCATTGCCAACCAATCAGATGGGAAGAAACTGCTCGCTACATTGACCTCGATTGAGTCAAATTCCCTTGGCGCTAAAGCCAACGGAGAGGGTCTGGAGGGAAAAAGCTTGTGTGGCGTAGACAAGTTAAGACACGGGCCAGAGGCCGAATAAAAAGGGGCCAGCCATTGACGACCTCCACTCATTGCTGGAAATACCGCGGAAGCTTCCGACACAAGCTCGGGTCAAGCAATGGTTCAGCGTAGGCATCCATCAAATAAGGTCCCGCTGAGGGAAATCAGAGGACCAACAGAATCTGAAAGGACCAAATAGCAAGAACAAGTCCATTCCCAGTCTGACTGGTGGTGGTGAAGGGAAGACGACGGGCGGGCTTGCGTGGTCAGCCTTATAGGGCGCGTGTGCTGCTGCAATCGGACTCCGCGGATTCCCTCTCGTTTGGACGGGATCGATTGAAACCTGGCTGCCTACCAGGTCCCTGATCCATCTTCATTCTATCTTCTTCCCAATACTACTACTGCACTACTGCTCACGATATTCATACTTATCTATACGCCATATCGGCACATCCCCCCCGCCATCTCCCCTAGTCATTTAGTCTCCTGTTCTGTTCCGTTCCCCTCATGAATCCCTCCATTTGACCGACTGCTATCTTGGCAAACCGTCACTCTTTACAGATTCATCCATACTTTCTTTACCTATTTTATTTTATTTGGTTGCGCATCAGTCATCATGCGTCTCCGTTTTCTGTGTGTAGCGGGCGCCTGGCTGGCCAGCTGTGCTGCCAGTCCAGCTGCCAGTCGTTCTGCGGATGCTTCCGTGCCCCAAAAGGCACTTGCAAACTCGCACGCCTCCTTCCCCATCGTCACCGGCCATGAGATCCATATGCCATATGCTACAATCCCAGGATCCAAGGAGGATGAGGCCAAGTATACCCCCAGACCATATCTGGTACGTGCGCCCGTACTAACAATGGTCGGAAAAGGCCCAAGCATCACTAACCTTGTCATCTAGGCGATGAAAATCCGCACGGAGAGCAATGCTCTATTTGTTAATGATGTTCCCGTCTTCCCGAGTTCGTTTCCCATGCACTTACCGGCAACCCGATACCAGGACGTGTCCGGTCAAAACCCGGAGCATCTGCTCCTGCAGTACGCGGTGGACATCGAATACATGCCCCCCCGTCCAGATGGATCCTTGGTGCAAGACATCTACCGTGTGCAACTCAAGTTTTTCGATCTCTCCGGCCATCCTGCCACGACGAATACCGTCCACGTTCGATTGTCCACGCAGCAGTCGGGCGAATTGTACATTACACAGATCATCGTCGAGCCATTTCTCGACTACTACCATGATGCCCATGGCGATGGAAACTGTGTCTGGCGCACCAAGTACTGGAACCTGATTATGGAAAAGTACCGTGCCTGGCGCGAGCAGAAAGGACCCGGCCATCACAAAGGGCCCGAGTCGCAGAAGAGTGACGACCACGAACACAATGACCATCATCATCACCCCAAGGCAAACAGCCCCATCTCCAAGGAACAGCCCACAGCACACCAGGAGGATCAAGAAAATAGCTCACTTCCCAAGGCTGATCCCAGCAACAGTGCACCCGAGTCCCCGTTCCGGGTGTATGGGGTGGACAAGTCTCTGCGACCGACGGCTTTGCGTAACAAGGATTACCGCCGGGACTTCTGGCGACTGGTGGTGCCCGCCATCATCCCGGGACTCCTGGGCGCGGTGGCTGGATTGGTAGTGTGCACGATGGGGCTGCTCCTCTGGAAGATGGTGGCATGCACGTGTGCCAGGATGCAGGGTCGGAGATGTCGGAAGCATTGCCAACGGAAGCAAGGCGTTTGCTTATCGGAAAAGCAACGTCTGCTGCAGCAGGATCAGCTGAGTGAGGCGTAGTAGTTAGTTAGTTGTTCAGTTACTCCATTATTAAGCAGGGATGCTATTCGTTATTGTGTGGGGGCTGAGTCGCAGATGCACAGCTAAATATTATTGATTGATGTAAACAACATGAGACAAGCCGAATATAGATATCTTGAAGCATGAACTCTTTGTCTAGTTTAATGTGTAGTATTCGCTCCATGTGATCGTCTAGAGTCTTAGTATTAGGGTGTGATACCGAGTTGTCTCATGGCTTCAGTGGATTAGTTACTTGGAAAGCGGGGTTTGGGTTAGTCAGGGAAACCCTCGGCCTGCAGCAACTATTGGAATCCTCCCTTGGCGACCGGTGGAAGCTCCGTTGTCACTTCTACTACTTTGTAATTAGAATGAGTGGTAGAAGAGTAGTCAGAAGGGCCTTCCGACTTCCGAGCACAGCCTCTTATGGTAGTATTGATTAGATTACTGAATGACTGACGGTTAGTTAGTTATTCGGAGGGAGCAGGGGATGGAAGGGCTGCTGCCTGGACTAGCAGAGACTGCATCATCCACTGCCCCATCCCTTCCTTCCGTGCGTCATGGCCCTCTTCAAAACCGGTCCTCCACATCTTGGTTTCTTCTCTGCTGAAAATAGGTAGCCAATACTACGGATCCATTTCTGCGATGATCATCCCTCGAGACCCTGATTGGCGTGGAAAATACGTATGTCACTGCAGGGCTGGCGATACCCCGGGGAAGGGGGCAAACCGAGCAGGAGAAATTTCCCAGATGATCCACGGGCGGAGGGGACCGACGACAGGATTCCATCGCGTTTCGACTAGTTAGCAGACTACTCAGTACATTTACCATTTCGAGTTGAAAGAGATTATGGAGGACCACAGCTGGCCTATCTGGGTCCTGTCATTGGACAAGCCTTGTCGCGAAGCTTGTCCAAAAGCTTAGGTTGACCGCCAGTGGATGAATGCTCGCCCTCGTTGCTGCTCTCTGATTGGAAAGAGTGGCTGTGACTTGTTCCCACCTCATCACAATAATTATTATTCATTAATTAATCTATGCATTCAATGGCTGGTCCCTGAGCCATTGATCATCCACCGTGTCTGATCCACTTACTAGCATTGTACCACCTCTTCCTTCTCGGCAGGGCTGAGCCAGTGATGTCACCTCCACCTGCAACCGATGCAAGAATAGCAACCGACTGTCTCTCCTTTCCAACCCACCAGCGATGGCCACGATCTACCGGCGCCTAACGGTGAGGTCATCCCCTCGCCTAGTATCTTTGAGTCTGATGCCAATAGGGCTGACCGCTGGGCTTTCCGACTCCCCCCAGATTGGAACATGGCCAACGGATAAATACTACTAACTCCCCCCGCCCGGTACCTAATCTTCTTTGTGTTCTTCTTAATCATTCCAGATACCCTTTCGCCTTTCCTCGGATAACTCCTCCTTATCTACCCGTCTGACTCCGGCTTAAGTCAGCTCTTCCCATCTTCCAATCCTCCCATTGTCCGAAAGAGCACGGAAAAAACAAACAAACAACCCCCAACAACAATCACCGCCAATATGTTCGACTGGTTCAAGTCTTCCAACAAGGAGTCTGCTACCCAGCAGCCCACCTGGAATCCCAACACCATGACCATGCAGCAGCCTTCCGCCCCGGAAGCTCCCGTCACCGAGCAGGTCGTCACCGGCCAACCCGTACGTCCTATCCAAGTCCATTCCCCCTGGTGCGATACCGGATCAACTCTAACATACCTCCAGGGCCAGCAAGAGACGATGCAGATGAACCTGCGTGGTGGTGGTGAGGGTGAGGATGTTTGCTGTGGCGTGTATGTATACTCTATCCTCTGACTCTCTATCAATCGAAACTAACCATACGATAATAGTTGTGCCGGTCTTGCCTGCTTCGAGTGCTGCGAATGCTGCTGCTAGATGGAATCATCACCCGGATAGACCATCTTATATATACCACGAACCTTGACGTCCATGTACTGTTAATATTATTCGCATCATGCCTATACCATGTTTTTAGCCTTGAGACTGAAGCGATAGAAGGTCCACGTCCTGGTCTTCATAAATCAATGTCACGATAACCTTTTTTGCAATTTGCTCTTCCATTATACTTTTAAATCTTACAATAACACCTGGCACAGAATCTCTTTGATACCCTGTGGTCTCGAACGTTATGGTTGATTTTGTACACACTGACCGAGACAGTGAACAAAGCTAAGGAGCAAGAATACCCGCCAAGATCGCTGCAGTTGTCGATCCCGACAGCCAAGAAAACTTATCGTTGGTACTTCATCAGAAGGATATTATATGTATAGAAGATCAGTTGCTGGACCACCTTTCTGGATTGCCTTTAAGAGTAAGTGTTGTCGCAACTAATCAAACAAAAAGGTTGATTTGATCCGTGACTTTACTGACAAATATATAATATTGGCAGTATGAATCATGAGATGCTTCTAGTGAGATGACGAATCGTGAACTCGTCAAAATGACATTCAATATGAGACCAGCGAACGTTGCGTGTTTTACTATATCTTTAACATTTTGGAAGTTACCGTGCCCTTACGGGTTACGCGTACAGCCCCAGTCGTTTGCGACTAAATCGCCCGCCGGTTGAAACGGTTCAACTAGCCGCATTGTTAACCTGGGGCCATGCTAGCTATTGGTGAGGATTCCTTTGCAATCAATCTAAGTGGATCGATCCATGCTTGGCCCTGAGCCCTGTTACCCAAATCAAACCTTGTTGATTTGTTTCGGGTCTTTCTTTCATATCCTCGATCTGAATCTCTTGAACTCGAAAATCCCTCACATGGCGACCAAATTCTTGTCCTTTCATCTCGAGAATTGGCTCTAACTCTAGCTGAGCCCTCGGTCCATCTTGCACTCCCTGATTTCCCTGAAGCTCGCAGTTATTACTTCAATATTGCGATTCTCTAACAACGCTTTTGTCTATACACGACCATAACTCTCTGACTAGTCGAACCCACCCCTTCAACATGTCGTTAGACATTGCTAAGTGGGAGCTCCCCGGAGACAGCTCAAGCCAGCAGGCGCCAGCCTTGAACATGCCACTAGTGCTCCTCCTAGCTGGGGCTTTGCTCGGGCTTATTTTAGTAAGCTATTGTCAACGCATGCGAACTAGATATCAATTCCAACTAATGAGTGACAGGCCGTGTATAGCCACGCGTATGTCTTCGCAACACTGATCGCGACTCAAACACCCAATCCGAGACTGAATTCATCACTCTCGCGCCAGCATTTCAGAGGTCTTTCCATCTTCGTCTTCCATCGGCTGGCCAAGATCTGTGTGATTTCTAGGTTTTCTATGAAGGACTTCAGTTCACTGAAGTACGGTTTTCTCAGCTTAACAGCCGACTTGCTACTTTCATACCTGAGAGTAGCCAATGTGCTCACAATCCTAAATCAACACTCGGGAACCCTTCCTTACTCTCGTTACATTCCAACGTGGTCAATGTGGTCGAAGGCCTTCACATCAATTATGCTGCAAAGCACTGCCTCAAGTATATGCTTTTACCTGCCTACCTACTTGATTCAATTGGCTGGTGCTTTAGAGGAGCGGCTAGAGGTCTCAGAAACGGTGCAGTTTATCAGTCTTCTGGGTACTATTATAGTTCTTTACTTTGAGATGGCTGTTCCCGCATATGCAATCTTTCTTCGAGTCACCGCCTCTGCACAGAGGGGTGAGTCGATGACTATCAGAGGCGCCTGGCAAGGGTTCCCATGGTCATCTCAGGTACACTTTTTCAAATTACTTGGCGAGGTTCTCGTCTTGGAAGCAAGTGTCACCATCGTTATTTTTATGTCTGTGCTCGCTTTCTGTCATCCTAATTTGCATGATGGTGTTTTTCAATTTTGTGTCAAATACTTTGGCTAGTTTAGTATCATGAGGAGACATGATATGTTATGGGCACCAAAACATCAAAACTGTTCTTCCTAGTGTGCTTATGATAGACCCCAGGTAGATATCAGTGTTTAGGGGAAGGAGTCGAAGAATGAAGCACCTTGAATACAAACCAGAATAACAGCAGGCCACTTCCTACACTGCTAATTCCCCTGAGCTCTTGCGCAACTTGACCATCGATCCAATTCTATATCAACGCACCAGCATGTAAGAATGAATAGCGGGAATTTAAAGGGAAAAGATTTCATTAGTTAGGAAGGCCCATCCGCGTATGCCTGAGGTCTTTTCTTTCGCTGTACTCTTTCTTTTGAGGGTGACCACAACCACATTTAAGTAAGCACCAGAAAGCAGGAAATTCAACATACCTAACTTCCTCGCAAGCTCCCAACCCCACCCCAGACTTGTCAGCTCCTCCCCCCCCTTCTTTGGCGATAGGCTCGTAATAGCTACCCCTCAGGGGCTTCAGGTGAAGGGTCCTAGGGAACTGAAGGGGAAGGCCGCAAGGGCCGATTGCCCAACAAATCACAAAAACAGATTAACAACCACATGAGGGTTTGACCGCTGAAGAGAGCCTACAGCTAGTTCAACAGCTGAATCAGCCAGCGGAGGGTGATGGGGTAGGATCGCATGAGCAGGGTGAATTGCCTAGTCAGGCAGATCCGCCTCTCGAAAGTCGCTCTCCGTTACTAGGCTATGTCGGTTTGGGCAGTTAAAGCTACCTACGGCGCGCGGCTTTCTCAAACATTACTAGAATATATAAGGCGATCGTAATAGGAAAGAGAAAGAGGAAACATCATAGCCACAGAGTTGATCTGGATTATTAAATGGGATTAGTTACCCGGCTTTAACAGCCAAATCTGATATCCCAGAAGTACCACAGACCACGGGAGCTAGAAGCTAACCTACGTGCCATATTCTGTTGACTTGTTATGTATGTTGCTTGAAAAGAATAACTGGCGGTTCCTAAGTGTGTTCCTAGAGCCCAGTGTAGGGCACTCAGACACGACTTTACTGGCAGGTACAACTTCCGGGGGCAAGCTCTACATCGGAATAGGTAGTAACCGATCAATACTGACAATGGATGCTAACCAGAGACAGCATCCAGCTCCGGGTCTCCAAACAGAAGCGCGAATATTGTCCGCTGGGACCCCTCTTACTAACGTGGGGCCGAGTTGGGAATTGACTGGCTTGGAAGGTAGCTTGGCACTTGATGCGCGGCGCCCTGCCCTAGCCGAGAAATCCGACCAGGCCGTTATCTTTCCTATTCATCAAAGCTTTGGATCGTCTACAGACTACGGATAATTAATTCTTGGCACTCTCGCTCCTGTGTATGAACTGTGATCCTCGCCCTGCGGGTCGTCCGCTACTGCGTATATGAGGCTAGTATCAGGATATCCTGCTACCTCACCATCCGTGAGCCATTTTTACGAAGGGATCAATGCTTTGCTGGACACTAGAGCAAGGCTGAAAGAGTGAGACCTCGACTATCAGTGAGTCACACATCGCTCGGATAATCGCTGGCGAAGCAGGCAGTGATGTGGTGGTGGAAGGGCAGACCGGAGATACCCCATACAGACCAATCGCTACCCCGAACAGTTGCTGCGCCCAGAAGGGAAACATGTAATTTCCCATGCAGCGACTAGTTCTGACAGGCAATTTGCGCTGAGGTCCAACCGTTCATAATTGCATCGGTTCTGACCTCCGTGATTGAATCGGCTAGCCGCACTTGAAGCCAATTCCCTGACCCGCGAGTACAAACCTTCCACAACATCCAAGCCCCAACAATTATCCCTCTTACATTATAACTACTACCATTCGTTCCAAACACATATACATTCAATGGTTGCCACCATCTCAAGGACAGTTTTTCACTCGAAGCGAAGGGTTGAATGACCTAAGGGGCCTTAGCCTTGCGCTAAGCATCCTCATTTCCGACGCTAAATTACATCCGAATGCTACCATGTGAGACCTACCCAATCAGCACCTCCAGTGACGGTCATAGCGGCCCCGGGGTTCTCGTATTAGCGGACCCTGGTTGGAAAGATGACCGAACATGGCGGCTCTACAGATTTTGTTTGATGCCCATTCGACTACCTACTCGCTTGAATCAATTCCCAAGGCTCTCAATAT